CTTAAGTTTTATCAGTGAAAATAAGGCTTTTGTTTCCATCAGTCGATGTGAAAGAAGAGATTTATTTTAAAACTGAAACCCTTAGGAATGTTTTATATCCTTGGCTAGAGAAAAGGGTGGGTTCTTCAGGTTGATGACTTTGGATTAGTGTGACCTGTGCGCTGTGCATGGGGGGTCCACTGAAGGTGTGTGAGTGGGTCTGTGTCTACCTCACAATAGGAAACTGCAATTGCAGCACCTCTTCAGTGTAACATCATTCTATTGGTGAAAGATAAGGACAAATTTTTTTGATTTGGCCTTGGGAAACTTCTATATTAAAAATTGTTAGCACCATGGGCTTTTCAGACACCGTTAGAGTCCGTAGTGCATCGAACTGTAATGACGCCACACTGAACTTCTATTTAGCAAATATCCAGGCAATGGGATACAAGGACATCTTTAAATATCAGCATTTTTAAAGTTGTAAGTAATAAGTGTATCTGAATATAATTACTTAAAATTCAATAAGCTTTCTTTCTAGGAACTTGGAGCTTCCATTTATATAGTATTTAAAACACCACTTTGAGCTTATAGGCATGAAAAATACAATTTCTTTCCCATTTCACAGTTGGAAAAACTGAATTAAGGAGAACAATGCTAGTAATTATCCATGATTAATAGAGGTATGTATGTAAATCAGCCTGAATAAGCATGTGAAATTAGATGTGCTGATGCCAACTAGCTTAGCTCATGTTTTTTAAAGATGAACACTTTCATATAAATCTCTGTGTGAGTTGAGCACACATCATCATGTATTGAGTATATTTGGAAATGGACTTTGTAAAAGTGTATGTACTAAGGTAACTCCATAGTGTGGTTTATAAGCAAAATAATACATAAAAAAATTAGATGAATGTTTAAATTCATTAGACAGAAACCATCTAATGAATTGAATACATTCATAGTGGATATTTACAATGTGCTGTGGATTTATATATGTGCCAGGATGCAGCAAGGAGATTAGAATTTGGGAGGACTTTGATGGTTAAAAAGCGAGGGAGACCGTGAATGTTAGTTTCTTAGGGTTGGGATTTCTTGGGTTAAAGCCCTTAGGATGCTATTGGTACATGAGAAGCCCTCTACCTAAGTAGGCTACTATTATTACTTTTATGACCATTAAATTCAGGCAATGTCGAACTGTTATAATAAGAAGCTGAAAGCGGGGGTATTTTCTCATTGATGCTCAGCATAATAATCCACAGGAAAAAAATTAAGTTGTAGGGATTGCCTGGTCATTTTTGTAACATGGGGTAACTTTAAGATTTTCCTTAAAGTTTTCCTTCTGCTCCAGTGAAGTATGATTTTCAGAACCCATTCCTAAAAGTGCCAGGTGAGCACAGGTATGTCCCTTCATCCTATTGAAGATGGAATCTGGCTGTTGGGATGGCAGGCCCGCCCCTACAACACTAGTCTCCCTTTGGGAGGAAACTTGCCAGGCAGCCTTCAGATTTCTGCAAGCCTGGTTTGTTTGTGGGTTGGATTTTAATTTTTTAAAAAACTTTAATTTGGGGGGGGGAATGTTTGTTTTGTTTTCAGAAAGAGCTTTAGACAGCTGTATTAATCATGCAAACCCAGCCATGTGCAATGTGTTTTATCAATGGAAAAACAGGAACTGAATGGCAAGCAGCTGTGAACAAACCCAGTGCAATGCCTGAGCCTGGAAGATAATCTCAACATTTCCCAAACCCACTCGCCACACGGGGTTAGTGAATGGAAAGGCTGTTCATTTGGGATAAATAATCAGATGGGAGGCAAATAAGTGAGACTCATTTCAGGATTCTTTTTTTTTTTTTTTTTTTTTTGGTGGTAAAGATCAGAAGTTGTTTTGATTGACCCTAACAGCCTGAGCGCCCTGAGCTCAAGGGAATTCTTCACTTGAGGGTGATAAAAACAAAACAATGGTAGTTTGTCCTTGTTCCTTCTGCACTTTCCCTTCATATTATCTTCCTGAGGCCAGTTTTGTCACCTCATTTGGAACCTATAGTTCTCCTAAATGTGAGGCCATCTTTACAAGCACTTTGTCATGAAGGGCTGTGCACAAGGAAGCTGATGGGGAGGCGAGAGGAGCAGAGTTATTATTTCTCAGTACTCAGAGGCCCCAGGAAATGATTTGAATCCAACAAAGTGAGAAAGGTTCCCTCAGAACTGGCTCTTTCCTCATTTTACAATTCAGTGGCTCTTCTGCAGTGATATAGTCAGGCGTAGTTATGCAAATATATGCAATTCAGGACTCATTTTAGAATAAATAAAGCCAAATTAAAATTAATGGGGAAAAACACCTATCAGAAACAGATCAAGAATAGAGCACTATTTGCTTTATTTATTTATATATTGCTTTTAAATTAAGGAGCAGGGAAGCACACTTTTTTTGTGTTGCTTTGTTTTTGGCAGGAGCGGAGAGGACATTTTAAAATTTCTGATTGGCTACAGACAATACAAATTATCCTTTGGTGTAATTCCAGTATTATTATTATCACTGCAGAAAATCAAGCAATATGATGAAGGAAACCCAAGGGAAATACATTTGATTTATTGAGCCTTGTTTTTGTTTAATCACAGCTTGGAGGGGTTTAGGGCTCATTCCTGCTGTGACTCTGCCTTGTCCCAGGCAGCTTGATGAGTCATGTAGCCTGGAGTTAGGAGGAGAGACCCTCCAATGAGATGAGATAGTAGCAGTGAAGCAGCTGAAATTAAACATGTATTTCTATTATTGGAAAATAGGAGAGAAAGTTCTCTTTCTGATGCCAAGACCAGAAAAGGACCTTTGGGGCTTTTTCCTGCTTTTCAAAATACCTTAAGAAAATTAATTGATGCAAAATCCTTCTGGCCATTTACATCAACTGACTGCTTATGGATGTCTTAACAGGTTAGGGCTGAAATGTTGGATTCCACAAAGATGATGGCAATACATAACATTAACTAAAGGTAGCGACGCAATGAGCCAGGCAAGGCTTTCATAGATATCTGGGCACTTAAATAGCACTATAAACAGTGTCAAGGATACATAGGTTAGTCTTTTTTCCCCTGCATTTTACATGGGTTGCCATCTTGATTGGAAAGAGAGGAGAAAAAAGATTTCATCTTTTGAAAGTTAAGGTCCTTGTAATGAATGGGGAACTTAACAGGACACTATCTTTGCAGACCAATCTCTCACACCAGCTATCCCAAGTCTCCATGAACAGCTTTTCAATTTCTACCAGCAAAAGCTCAAAGTATTAGTAGTCAGATAAACTATATTCTCTAAAACTATTGGATCTAAGGAAGCTATCTACAGTCTATCTATAATGTAAAATCAAACTAGGGTCATTCTCCAATCAACAATTCAGTTTGTGGGAAAAAAATTAAGTTCAACAAAATCCCACATGCTCCATCCCTAGTCCAGACTGTTTTTTAGTATCCGCCAGCTGTCCTTTGTGAACAATGTCTGGCTTCATTTTGTTAGCTGTTCCACATATCATAAAGCATGATCAGATAAAATATTGGAGTTTGTGGCTACAGGACTGTTCTCACAAAGGAAACCTAGAGTCACAGTGACAGACACTGCAGGAAGCTCATCTTGGATGGAGCCTGACCTCTATCTAAATGTATTCATTGGGATGATTGTGTATGTGCTTGTTTGTCACATCAAGATATTTGCAAGATGGCAACATGATAACATGTTGTCAATCTTTGCAACCACACTAAAAGACAAATGTCTTAAAATACTTGTGGCATGTCAGGAATTCAAAATGGGATATTTTCCATGAACACTGAGTTTCATGTCAAGCCTGAAAAACAGGCACATTTTAACAGTCTTATTTTTAGTGAGATAAAAAACAGATTTCATTAAAGTTTTAGGGTAGGTTTTTATTCAACAGCATTCTTTCAGAAATAGCTTGGACGCTTCTTAAAATTTAAGAGCAATTTTTTATTAAGCTGTTTCATTGATTCTTGAGACTTTACAATTCTAGTTTCAAATTTAATTAAAATAAGTTTGCATATATGTGAATATATGCATATGCATCATATTATATTATTGACACTGAGTGTTTACACCCAATTCTGGCCTAATTTTTATTTTGGACAAGTGTTAATGAAACATGATCCAGCTTCAAACCAGCAGCTTTCTACCTTTAATTCTGAGCACATTTTCTTTATAGTGTATTTGATAATCATGTTTAATTGGATTTATTTTTTTCCTCACTAGGCCCCGCATGGCCTACTTTCCATTTTTTCTCAGGTCTTTGAGTGTTATTTGCAAATCACTTTTCTGGAATTTAATTTCAATGGTAGGTTGGTTTCATTTCCGATTTTTTTGTATTGTTTTAATTTTATTTGCCAATTTGCCTTTAAATAGCCTTAAGCTAGAAGGTTAGAGCTGCAACTTGCATCTAAATGTGATGCAGGAGGCAAAATTTAATTTGAGTGTGTAGAAAATTTCATGAAAAGGAATACAGAGGGACTACCTCTATTGAAAATTTGTGTTTTCTAAAACAGTTATGTCTTAAAATAAAAACTCCCTGAATTGGCCAAGATTTTAATCAATAATGTCCTTGTAATCTGGTTGAGTTAAATCTCTGACTACAGATAAATTCATCTTTACAAGTAATACCAATGACTTTGGACTTGGATTGATAAACCTCCTTAGGTTAACATGGTCAGAGGACTTGTATTTTCATGAGCTAAAGAATTTAGCTGGCTGTGTTACAAGAATTCATAGAAATCTATATTACATACTGATTGGAGAAAAAAATTGCCTTCTGTGTTTAGCATCATCTTCCTCTGACTGACCAACTTGAAGTCTGATTGGGTGGCAGACTTGTTACATGGATATCAATTGATTGACTTTGGAAGGTTTAAGAAAATAAATGATTTCTATTGTGTGTGAATTTTGTGAATGAATTTTCCTCCTTTGTTTTGGACATTACAGATGATGGAGAATGACCCAGCAACAGAGCTACAGTGATAAAATTCATACTGACCTTGAATGGGATGGGGGATTGTGGGTAAGACACGTTCTAAAGGGGAAAAAATACATCATGGAGAGTTTATAAGGTATATACATCTATCTTATTCATGTTTGATACTTAATTATAAAACAGGTGAATTTTCATGCTTATAGGATTATATCTTCCACAAAGTGTCTGTTTCTCCTACTAACACTAAAGTATCAGAGCTATTATTAACATTTAAAATCCAAAGACTTAAAAAAAAATAGCTATAGTAAAGAACAATCTCATATTGTGGTAACCTACACACAAGATCCAACCCTCCCCTAGGGAAAAACCACAACCAAGACTACTTTTTGGGGGAGAGTGGGGGTTAACGGTGTTTAAATTAGTAGTGATCATTTCAGGACTGGCACTTTGGTCCTGGTTCTGCTCTCTTTAGCTCATCATGGACCTATGGTAGCTTAGGTTGCACATTTGCTCCCTAAGCCCTATAGCTCATGCCAGCTTTAGAGAAGTACCTGGAAATTTATTTTGGGAAATATTAATTCAACTTTTCCTTCAGGTTTTTACTTCCACATTACTGGTGTTAGTACATGAGTAGTAAGTTCCTCCACATGATACATTTTATTGTTAGTCTCTCCCTAAATTCTACCCTCTTGTGATAATACAGTATTACCTGAAATTTGATCAACCAATCAGATTTGCTTGTTGATATACCTGCTGAGTATTAAGTGCTTTCCTTTTGAATATTAGCTTATGTGTCCCTCAGAGTCGCATCCCCAAGCTGCTGACTGGAACTTAAACATGCTGAAAGAGTTCAAGCTTTAAGGTATCCTCTATCTCATCAAACCCCAGGTTTAACTCTAATTCCTTCTGGGATAGGTAGTATTTCTTGCTACCCCCGAACCCAACTGTGTAATATAATTAGTATACACTTTTTTACATTCTTCCAAGAAATTTTGTTAAAGACCAAAGAGAAATGAAATCAAAACCATAAACAGAAATGCATATGTGTATATTCGAACTTGATCTGCTTGCCATCTCGTACCATAAACTTAGAAAGGATAGATTTTGCCTGGAAGTTGGGCATTCAGTCCATCTGGGCCCTGAGAAAATCCAGTCTCCTTGCAGAGTGAGCTTTTTCCTAGCTTGGCTGAAAGTTGTAGTTTCAATGCCAAAGTTTCCTAAGTACATTAAAATGGAACAGGTCAATAACAGTCCCTTGAACAATTGTGTCTTAGTTACAAAATTGTCAAGTAGAAAAATGGTTTAAACTCCACTGGTTATTTGGTATTAAGTTTCCAGCTCTGAAAATAAATAGCTGAACTGTTTTCAGCATTTGTTTAGCAGTTGGAGACCACTGTCCCATCCTATACTCTATCTACTGTATTTTATTTTTATTATTACCATTATTATTCAGACTGTTTAAATGACTCAGCTTAATATTTTCTCAACACACTGTTCACAGCTGGGTAAATGCACTGTGCCCTCATTTCCACAAGACCATTTATATTGTTAAACTATCTCACCCACCTCTTTTCATTGCCTTTTCAACTGTTTCCCAGCTTGTTATTACAGTCTTAGCTCCACCCTGTTATCATCATCTTAGCCCTATCACGCCCCATTAGTTATTCTCATTCTCTTAATTCCAGCCTACTGGTTTATCATTCCTTAGACACTTTCTCATACTAGCTTTTTAGCTTTATTCTTTCACTATCTTTCTGTGGTGTTTTAGAGTTTACATCAGAGTTTTTGGGCTCTTGTAAGGGTGCAAAGTAAATACGATTTAATATCAAAACAGAATTTTCTGACTTTTAATATTCAAAAGACAAAGAGGGCAGGAACCTTGGTACTATGTGTTTTGTTTTTTTGATGGCTAATGTTTGAGGAGGCCAACACAGCCTAGCAACTAATTGAAGGCTTTAAGAACAGAAGCCTAAGGTTGGCTCCAGAACTATAGGCTGTGGCTATTAGTAAATTCCTGAACTCTGAGATTTGGGTTTTTTATCTGCTAAATGGGGTGGGGAGTATTATTGACTGATTTTGCTGGGACACCATAAGAAAGAGTTAAATGCATATTAGCCATTTCATAAGAAAACTCTCTGAGTTAAAACCACCTATATGACAAAGACTTTTGTTGATGGTAAGGTGTACATAGGGAGATGACTTATAAACTCAGACATGATTTTCTCTTATTTTCCAGTTTAGATGTCTTCCTGGGAGTCAGCATATTTAATGCCTATTCTTTGAACTAAAACTAGTCCCAGTGCCTACCACTTTCCTACTGTATCCACAGAGAGCCCTTCTACAGGGTATGCATCCAGTTTTCCAAACTACATGTGGGTAGTACTCAAATAGCTGTTCAAACTGTTTTATTATCTGGCATCCAAAAGTAGCTGGTTAAGAGGTTTTGCCAAGTCTTAACTAGCATCATCAAGTAGTGTGTATTTAAACACTGACTCCCTAAGATAATAACTTAAAATGGTTTCCAATAAAGAGGGAGAGGCCCTCATATTAAGGGTTTTCTTCAGAGCTGGGTTATTTAGGTAATACTTGAAATTTCATCAAGTGCAGGTTTGCAAGTTAATGACCTTTTAAAATTAAAAAGAAAATGTAAAATCCTCCTGCCCACTGATGTGGTAGATTTCTTGGTATTTTATTTGTGTGTATGTGTGTGTGCGCGTGTGCGCTCAATAACCTCAAAGTACCTTACACGGTTATCTAAAGTAGAAGGCTATTGATCAGTAGGATAATCTTTCTTTAATATGATGACATTTCCTCCCCCTAAGACCCAATGCCAAACATTGGCTTGCATATTAGTTCAGCATCTCAATGTGCCAAAGAGGAACCAAACTCTCTAGGGGACCAAGTGAAATGGAAGTAGATAGCAGCAGAAGCCATGCTCCTGTGTGGGAAGGAATGTAACAGTATTTGCTCAGTGGAAAGGCCTCACTAAATGAAAAGAGGAGAAATAAATTAGATGTCTCCTTACCTCCAAGGTGCAAAAGACACATCTCCTAACATTTGCCCCACATATACAAATCTAGATAATGTGCTGTTCTAGAACTTGGACTATGGACGAAGATCACTCAAGTTTAAATCCTGGTAGTCCTACTCAGTTGCACAAGTGACTTACTCTCTTTCCAGAATGGAGAATACGAGTACCTCCTTGGGCTTTCTGATGATTAATGAGGTTGTGTATATGGAGTGTTTGGCACATATGCAGAGCACCTTGTTAGCACTCACTTGATAAGTAGTGATAATTAAAATCATCCTTACTCTTATTTCCTATACATTGCTTTTAAGATAACTCAACACAAGCCCCCCCCCCCAAAAAAAAAAAAAAAAAAACAGGTTTCCTTTCTGGGTCTCTCTGAATCATCAGTGTGGAAATATGGAATCTATTTTATTACATTTGCTGAAGTAAACATGCGATTCTTCATCTAGACAAGGCATATTCCCCATCTGACAAAGACTAAGGAGGTGAATTCTTACGCATACACATTATACCACTGGATTCATGTGTCCAGGAAAATTGTATAAGGTGAAGTTTTGTCTGGGATGAAGAAAAGTATATGAGGGATTAGACATTTAGATTGGATTTGCATGGCTCCTGGACAAACAGAAAGCTAGAATGCATAGAGAATGAGAGAATAAGAAAGGAATGCCTCCACTGGTTCAGAAGAAGAAAATCACTATAAATACAATGTATTCCTGCATGCTCACTCAATCATTTTGACCCTTTAGGAGATAGGTGCTTGAATAGAGAGCAGAGATGTGTATGTACACAGGTGGTGGAGGACAAGGGGTCTCAGTGACCGCCAATTGACATTGTGTAAAAAGTCAGCACGTGTCCCTGTGATGGACGTTGCAAATGTGCTGACAAGCCAAGGAAGATGGCCAATTGTGAGCTCTTCAGGGGCTCTGGCTGTAGGCTTCTACCTGCTGCTGTTTGCAGCACCTTGCCAGCTGCCTCAGCTGCTCTGGACTGGCTGGGTCAGCAGAGCACCCTGCTGCCCACACAGTGCTCACAGTGCCCACACAGGGTGCAGGCTGCAGACCCCTCCCAAATACCTCGCCCCCACTGACCTGGATCTGTGGAAAAGTTCCGCCACACACAGTGGCTTCTTCCTTCCATTAAACACCCTGACTTTGAAACTAAGTGCTGGGACTGTGCTCATACATGTACTTTCTTATTATTTCCTTTTCTTCCTTTCCTTCCTTTTTGCCTACCTGTCTCCTCTGTCCTCTTAGTCTTCTTTCTTTTTCCTTGTCTTTCTTGCCCCCCCTTCTCTCTCTCACACACCCACACATACACATGCCCTAGGTGAACTTAGCTGCCACAGAGCCTCGTTGTCAAGGCTGCAGTCATGCAGGCGGTAGCAGTGTACCTCCCTAAATTAACTGGTGGTGATGGGCCAGGTGTGCTGGAAGTGTCAGAGTGTCCCCCTTCAAATGTTCAGATTTAGGCCTTGAGTCTAAAAAATGGGCAATTGATTCACTGAGGGTGGACAATTTTAATAGTTTCCTTTTCACCTCCAAAATGACCTTTTGTATTCTATGCTTCTGTAAGTATTGCACCTCCTACCTTTCCTGTAAGGTGGGAAATCAGTTGCGAACCAGACACATGTGTCTCCCCCTCTGAGCTGCTGAGGGAGAACTAGTGTGCCAGCGGGTGGCCCACAGAGAGTGGCCTGGGCCCGCGGGAAGAGCCACCATCACCACACTATGTGTGTCTCAAGTATATAATTGAGGGGGACGGCTGTGAAACTGTCAAGCCTAATATACTCATGATACCTTGGCCCAACTTCTGGGTTTCCTATTGACAGAATTTTGTTAAGATTCTTGACATTTCTTAAGTTTTCTGGGTGGAGTCCTTTAAAGGGACTTTATGAGCAGAGTGATGGCAGCAGAGCCAATGCAGGCGCTCCATTATCTGTAACCTAGTCCTTGCCCTCCTGTCTCTGCTTCAAGTATTCCAGTCTTCCATCTCTACCCATCTATAGCTATCATTTTTATTTGTTATTTGAAATATATCATTATGTATATATGTACACTTTAGGTGGGATAGGAAGAAAATCTACTTTAATGCAAATTTTTAGTGTTCACTTTTAAAAACTAATCCATTGTCCCATTTTCTCTTTTCTAATCTTTATAATAGCTTCCTAGTTAAATGAATGTTGTTCTGCTTGACCAAGTTACCTTAGACGAGTCAAAAACTCAAAATCATTGTTGAGGCTGTTTCCAGACTCCTCCCCCCTTATTTATGGAATCCTACATGTTAGAAATAAAGAAGGAAGCTACACTTCTTAATAAATACCTTCTCAAGTATCTTGAGATACTGATGTCTCTAGCTGAAGCCAAGAACACTGATGTTTGGTCTTTGGAGATAGGAAAACAGTGATATGAGTTCAGCTTCATATTGACATGGCATTTGTGTAGCTGTATCCCATCGAACTGTTTGTTACCAGTTGAAGCCAGTGGGAGAGTGAATGGAAAAATTGAAGTCTGAACTTAGAGGAATTTGTCATTGTTGTTTTTATAAGTGGAATGGTATCTTGAGTAGTTATAAAATGACTTTACTACCACATTTCAAAGGAACTCACTTAAATTGATTTTTCTTCTAAAAATATTTTTTTCCCCTTGTAGGTTCATCTAAACTGAATAAAGGAAGATGGAGGAATCTCTCCTGGCCACAGTGTTTCTAGATTTTTCAGTTAAAACTGGGGCAGAAAAAAGAGCCCATGACTTGTTTGTCCCCCCCCCCCCAAAAAAAAAAAAAAAGTAAATTCTTCGGAATTCTTCCTTTATTCCAAATGTACTTTCTGGCCCAGCAAGTGCTAACTTTTGGGGTTTACTTATTTGGATAAACACATTACTATTCCAAACATTATCATTTTCCTCTGATTTCACCATCTATACTTCTCTTTCTCAGGAAGACTTGCTTCTATGTGCACAGCCATGAAGCCAGAACGACAGGGGATCGATTACCTGACTGTAACATGGTACTGAGGCAAAGCTGCAAAGCTACAAAGTTGGGCTCTCCTGAAAACATCAGCAACTTAAAAAAATTGATCCCTCCTTTGTCTGCCTTTTGGATTTTCTCTGATCTTCAGAAATGCTCTATAATTCCATCTCTAGTCCAATAATATATCAGAAAAGTAATGTTTCCCACTGTCATATGAAACTCCCCCACAACTATTTTTCCTCCCTTAGATTTTATATTGTTTTAATCATTCATTCCACCCTTCCTCTTGTTGTTAAAAATACACTTTCTTTTTCTAGCCTCTCTCTTCTCCCAGCACCTTATCTATCCTCACTGACTATTTCTTCCTCATTTATGCTCACCATTGCCATTTTTTAACTGATATCCATTTCCTGCACTTGACATTGCCTTTGCTCCTTAAAGAGACCATGATCAAAAAAGATGCACTTTCTATCATTTTAACCGGATTTGGCAATATATATGTTCTTTCTGTTAAGAAAAAAATTTCAAATTAAATAAACTAATTTTAAAAATAAAAAAAAAAGATGCACTTTCTCTGATTATTCTCAGAGTTTATCCAATCAGGAAAAACCAAACCAAACCAACCAAACCAACAAAACACAAGGCAGTTATCCAAGAGAGTGGACAAAACCATTTGTAAATCTCACCTTATGCACAGGGATTGAGATGCCTATATTTTTGTTGTAATAACTATAGTCTGACTTTTATATATGTTTACCTTAAATAGATGATTTTCAAGTTTTCACATGAGAACATAACCACCTCCTCCCCGGAGGGGGGCCCTGCTCCGCCATACTTACTGAAAAGGACTAGGCTGGCATTGGTGACCCCCAGCTTGTTGGCGGCCACGCAGGTGTAGTTGCCGTAATGTTCCTCAGTGACGTTGGTCACCGTCAGGGAGGACTGGCCCTCCGTGCTCTTAATCTCAAGGCCATTGGCACTGTTTATTCTATGAGTTCAAAAACAGAAGAGTAAAAAGAAACACTGATGAACATTTGGATAGTGGTTTCTTTCTCATCATCACATGGGAGGAAAAAGGAGAGGACGTAGCTAGAATTAATTATTTCTTGCTGAAGTCCTCATTTTCATCACGAAATCCCATGTTGTCAGAATCTATGTTCATTGACAGATGAGACTCAGAAATGAATGAATTCCCTTGGGACTGTGTTTCTGCTGTAGGCAAGAAAGACATGCAGGTGGAAACTACCCATTTAACCACCTATCTCGTTGCATGTCATCTGAGTTCTCTGGAGCATCAGCTAGGCAATATCAGGCCCAAAGCACTTGATCGAGAGATGTGGGAAAGGAAGAGTCTGACAGTGGAGACTCCATAATGACAGCCCAATTTGGTTTTCTCTTTATGGCTTCTGGGGCCCCTTGGACCACCTAGCAGAGCAGTAGGGCAGGGGCAGGTCTGGCACTTACCTGGTGTCATCCCGGTACCACTCAAAGTCGGGGGCAGGCACTGCTGAGGCCTCACATTTGAGTGAAGCTTGTCGCCCTGTGGTGGCTTCGTTGCTCTTGGATTCGGTGATAGTGGGAGGATCTGTAGGAAGCATAGTTACACAGTTTACCCAAAAGATGTGATCCAGGATTTCTTTTTATTTCCTCCAGTAAAACATCAACTATTACAACCTCAATGGTTGTAATATCTGCAAACTTTTTTTCTTTTCAGAAGTTAAGTGATAATACTATAGGATTTGGGACTTTAAAGGCATAATTTCGTCACTTTTCTTTTTTAAATTCATCATCAAACTATTTCAAATGATAGTTTGAGACAGCATTCAGAGGTCTGAAGAAATAGCAGAAGACTGACCTTCTCCCAACCAAAGCTTAGCTAGACATTGTTACAGGAATTCAGAAAGACAAGGTAGTATTAAGTGATTACCTTCTTTTCTCCTATGTGTTTCCAATTGCAATGACCCAGGTGATTCTGCTTTTATGTATGAGGGTGAAGTTTAAAGTCTGTCCTGGTATGTAGAAGCCTTCCTGTTGTCTCAGTCTTATACTCTGCCTGGGACTTGTGCACTCAATATTTTTCAACTCAGGACTGGGTCTACAAAACTGTAACAGACTTGAATTGAGCTCAAAGGCATATCTGACATTCTTATTTGTTATGATTCTTTCAAACAACCCTATGGAACAAATGTTTCCATGAGTCAACATGGTGATTGCAAGCTCCTGGCTTGTTGGTGCTGTGTTTGTGCAGGTTATGAATCTTCAAGGAGAAAAAGGATTTTTCTGTCCAAAGTCATTTGCCAGAAAATGGCAACTTGGCTGTGAGGACATGGAAAAAATAGATCCAAATAGCCTATTTAGATTTTGTGGAGAAAAAAAAAAAAACTTATTTAAGGAAATTAGTAAAGTGAACTCTGGTATAAAAAAAATCATTTAAATTTCTGCTCATCAGCACATTATTCAGTTCACTTATCTCTGAATTTTTTCCTCCATATTCAGAAACTATTTTTTAAGTTTTCCGCCTGTAGAAGAATCTGATCTTCTTGGTTTAAAAGGATGTAAAAAAACATCAGCTTGTTCTGCAATTGTGTCCCCTGTTTCATTTTTACATAAATTTGGGCATCTCTAAATCATTCTCAGAAAGGAGTTAAACACATTTGGATAAACACTGTCTCCCTGTGTATAAACAGGTGTACTGGAGTGGGTTGTTGTTGTGGTGGTGTTTTGCTTTAGACACATCTGCTCATTTTTGTATAGGTACAATAAGGCAAATGCACACCAGAAAGAACCCTGGCTTGAAAACTAGGATCCAGAAATTTAATTTTAGTCTGTCAGTGTGGACCGCCCATCACACACTTTATCTCTCTGTGTCTTGGTTTTATTATCTATAAAATGAGGGAACCATACTTTAATCATCAATATTATCTTTTACAGCTTTAAAAAAATTCCAAATTCTAATTAAAACTGCCCATCCCTCACACATGGGCAATTGTAACAGTATGAGCCAAGTGTGTTTTCATACCCATAACTTGTTTAACCCTTAAGTTGCTAACTTTTAAAATGATAATTCATTCATCTATTCCATGGGGTAGGAGATAGGGGTAGCAGTCAGAAATAGGAAACCTGAGGTTTGATTTGCTTATTCATTAACTAGATCTGAGGTCTGGGCAAGTGTCTGCACCCATCAGAGTCTTTACTTCCTCATTAAAAAAAGATTTATTTATTTATGCATATAAGAACTGGGGTACAGGCCAGAGTTGTGGGGGGTCAGAGGATTCATCAGAGACAAAGTGAGGAACAGAACAGGCAGACTGACTGAAATATACTGCTGAGTGGAGCAGTGGGTGAGTCAGGAGAGGTCTGCTGTGCCATGTGGGTCACTTCCCTGTCCGGGGATCGAACTCGTGCTGCAGTAGCTGCAGACAGCTTCATAGGTTGTGTCTTAAACTCTTGTGCCACCAGGAGGCCCCACTTCCCCATTTTTATACAAGGAGTTGACTTTAAACGATTCACCACTCATGTTGTGGAGGATGATGATCCTTAGTATAGCAATGTCTTGGTGGATGCCTCCAGGCACTCCTCTGTGGTACCAGGAATGCAGGTCCCAGCCTATAGTTAGTTCCTCCTTGCCCTGAATGTTTCCTTCTCTGTGGCAGGAACTTATTTAGTATATATCCCTACCCTGGTACCAGGGAGAAGGAATTTTTTTTTTTCCCTAAAAAGTAGAGCAAATAGCTGCTATAAAATAGCCAGAGCACATAGCAAATAGTAAGAACAGATTAGGTTTGTTTAGCTCCTGTGTTCCCCCTCTTTTTTCTGGAGCCAAGTTTCTGGTTAGGAGCAGAGGTTCTTCTGTTTCTCCATGCTGGGCTCACTCCATCATGCTCTTGCTAAGACTGCAATGCCTGAACTCAGCACTGCCATGACTGGGGAGGAAAGTCAGCCATACTAAACTCCTACCTCTAACCATTTTGATCTATGACAATGGAGACAATTGGGCCTACCTTATGTCTCCTCTACTTATGTCTGAAAGTGTACATAACAGATAAATAGCAAGGTATTCATTAGCTCACTCCTCAGAGCAGGGGAAAAGCAACAGTGAATTTATTCTTGAACACTTTTAAGTGCACTAATCTTGGGACAGAATGACACCGGTCAATAACACAGGCCAAACACTTGCTTCTCTCCTTGAAAATCTAGGGTAAATTCACAGATAATGATAAATGTATGAAGATCCTGTTGCTAATATTTCTCAAAGGATACACTAGTACAAGTTTGTTCTTTCATGGCTTATTGGAATGAGTATTTCAAAATTCTTTTATAATGAATTCTGCATAGGTAAGGCTAAGAAAAATTGTTAAAACTCCTATTGTAGCATGCCTAGTATATTTAAAATAATAGGTGTCCTTGCTCAAAATACGGTTATAATAAAAATATGGCTTAATAATAAGGTATAGAGGTTCACTATTATTCTTTTACTTGATTTTGGAATAGCTTATAGCTGTCAAGTCTTCCAATTTTATTATTCAAAATTCTGGCTTCTGAAAATATTAACAAAGCTTTTCTTCTTTTGACATTATCAATAACACAACTCTTAGAATGACATTATCAATAACACAACTCTTAGAATGACTAAGAAAACAACTGTGTCCTAGCAAGCAATATCATTTATTTAATCATGCTACTATTTGGTATAATAGAACAAAAAACAAAATTCTTAATAAAGGATTCAATTTATAGATATTTGCCATGTGGCAACATTTTAGTAGGGCTTTAAAGATTACTTTCATCCAGATAATGGCCCTAGAAGGTAAGTATTATTAGCCCCATTTTATAAATGAGGTGACAGATAGAGTTAGTAACTTAACCAAATTCACATGGCCAGCATTTGGTGGAGTCTGGATTTAAATCCACGTTACAAATTTCATGACCTGAACTTCTCTTTGCTTCCTTAGACAGAAATGAGTTCCTAATAAGGAAAAACACCATTAGGGGAGCATGAAACACCATTAGGGAGCTTGAAAGGTGAATGTTACATAGTTCTTTTACAAAGAGCCAAAAATGGCACAGCAAACAATGACCTGATGGCTTTAAGCCTTCATTAGATGTGAGCTCAATTCACTCCTAGAAGTGACATGTTGACCTCTTGGAGTCCTGAGTTGTGAAGGTAGGTGATGACACCCGCCTGCTTGTCTCAAGTATTTACATATTTGATGCAAATATTAAGTGAAATCACGTATAAAAGAACACATTTAACACCTAAGAAGATTACATTTATTATTTTTATTACTATTATTCACATGATATCTGGGAAGAAAAGAGGACGTTTGGAGTTAGACCTGGGTTAGACTCACAACTTATCACTCACAAGTTCTTATTTTGTGACTGAGAATGCTTATAAATTCTGAGCATCAATTTTGCCCTCTCTGTCTGGGGCTGATTTAATTATCTCCTGAGTGGTTTTGCAATGGTGGACCAAAAGACTAGGAGCAAAGAATGTAGGCAATAAGTGAAATTGTCTGTAGAGAATTTAGAAACAATAATAAAACTAAAATTTGTCTTTTGAAAAAATCACCACCTATCAACAATACTACATTCAATATGCTAAATAATGTCAGTGATAAACACTCTTCCTTGCTGGGCAAGCCTGCACTCCAATACACCCCCATCCTTGCTTAGTCACTGCTGTTGTGACGATTGTAGTGATCACATAAAATCTCTAGCATAGTCTCGCTACTTTGAACATACTCAGAAAATCACGACTCTTATTTAAATTGCAAAGTTATGGCAGAAAATCACAGTACACTGGATTCTTACTGAAGTTTTCTAATGAAGATCCCATAATGGAGTCACAAGCGTCAGGATGCTTCTTTTCTGATATCATCCAAATATAAGAATAAACAAAGGAGACACAGCCACAAATAGCTCGAAAGGTGGACAGTCTGGTTCCATCTTTGAGCCGTCATTTCCCTAATGTTTCATCATGAAGTCCAGTTAAAATACATATATATCTGGACACAAACAGATGTCTCTAGTCCCAACTTCATTTTCTATGGCAGGTATCCTCTGCTTCCTCTAAATAAATGGCTATAAAAATAAGGATGAGCTTTCGAAATGCCAGTATCCCATGTCCATCGGCATATCTGTTGGGTTGGTTAGTTTGGAGACCAGGGTGGAGGCAGAACTGAGTTCAAAGGGACACAGAAAAATGGGAATATTAGCTGGTCAATGGGGTGAGGGAGGGATTGAGTGCTGGGGGAGCACAAGGATTGAGGGCATTCTCCAGGAATAGGGAAAAAGTCCAGTAGAGGAAGATTTCTAATAAAATTTAGTCTGTATTCATTTAACATTTATTATGCTCTCTCTCTATAGAGGATACTGGTATTAGGATGAGATAAACTTCATAAGTCAATACTTCTAGTACACTGTGAGAACTGAAATTGAGGGATTACACCTAGACCCTGTAATGAGAGGACATGTGTTTCTAGGGCTGGTATCTGGAAGAAATTAGGCACATGCTATAAGTAAGATATAAAAAAAAAACAGAAATTTTGTCTATTGTACATGATTTTACTAAGCTTACTCAGTTGAAGGGATTTCAGGTCAATAATTTAGCTTCTCTACACTCCAGGACTTCCTACCACTTAGAAAATAGATTTTGCATGTCAAATGGCTACACACAATGTTGGAGACCAACTGTGGAGAAGGATTATCCCAGAGAAGTAAAAAGGGAACTCTAGAATTCAGCTTATGAGCTAAACAGGAGAAACTGTTATGTCACTCTTGTTCACTGCTCTGGTTTCTCAGTGCCCTCAACAAATATCTGTTGGCAAGTATGTAAATGAATCAATGAAATGCTGGTAGCAGAAAATTACTAGCACTGAAATTTTTCTTTTCCTTTTTTTAGTTTTACTTAGACATTAGCCATTCTGATCCTCTGACCTAATTCCAAACCCTGTGTTTCGAAAAGGAAGAGCAATCAGTTAAAATAATGGCATATTTTCTTTAGTAGGCTAGATGAATTTGCAGAGGTGATATTAAATATTTTTCAGTATATATGTGTTTGGCTATGGAGATCTGGCTCTATAATTTAATCCTAAAGACTTCATCTACTTAATAAAGTTAAATAGGATGAATGTTTAAACAGGATAAAAGATGCAACGATTAGTTGTTCTATGTAGTATAAAAACAGTCTGTAAAGTGTTGGTAAAAGGTGATTCCAAAGGAAATTGATACTTCCTAATTTGCCACTCACATCATTTGTAAAGTAGGGAGAGAGTTTACCTGTGCCATGTTCAATAAAGTATACCTTTATTGAGTTATTTTATCAGTCAGGCGTATGCTTGGTGCTGCTTGTTAGGACATACTGGGTGCTTGAGTTCGTGATAGATTTCCATATATTATGAGGTGTCTTTTTAGAATATTGAGGTTCTGCTCATATTCTTCTGTGATTTATTCATCTAGAGCAAAAGTTCACGTTTTCATAAAAATCATTTCTTGAAAATTATCAGTATTTTCTTCTGTTCTAAGTTATACTTTGGGGACAGTAGAGAAGAGCAATGTCAGACTAATTGTGCTAATAATAATAGGACCCAGGCGGCTGGCTTTGATCTTGGGGACTATCTGCAATGCAGACCACTTTGATGTTGCACACAATGGAAGCATAAATATTTTCTATGTATTCCATGATTGGGCTTTCAGAAATCTAATTAAGATGAAGGTCAATTAAGAGAAAATGAAATCTTAACTCCAAAAATCAGAGAAGAGGTGGGAGATGATGACATGGCTGTGTGTACATAAAAGAAGCTAACTAACCTAATTATAGACTTATACAAACACCCAGAGAAATTGCCTTTCATGTTAAAAAAGGTCCTACAGCATTTTCTAACATTGAGATCATTAATGTGTCTTTGAAACACACCCAGTACTGGAAGAGAATAGTAATACTGGCATTTCAAAAAATCACAGACTGCTATGGGATGAAAGCACTTCAGAACTCATCAAACACAGCCCCTTGCTTCGTGGAAATGAGTCGTCAATGTCTACGACAGAGTCATATCTGTTAAATTCTTCCAGGTAAGGTGTGAGGGAGAGTGACTTGTCTGTTTCAGAAGGCTGCAAGGCTGGAGCAAAGCCAAAGGAAATAGAGGACCCCAGCATAGACTGGCCAATTTCCACAGGGCTCTTAGCCTCAGTTTTCAAATTTCTAAGTTGAATGAAAGCTGTTTATCTCATTAATTTACTGTGAGGATTAAATGACAAATGTCAATCCTTTAATCCAGTGCTGAACATAGTAGGTACCAAGAATTGAAAACCCATCCTCCTTTTGTTTTTTCTCCTGAGAGCATGGGTGTTAGCATCAAACAGGTCTGAGTCTGTATCCTTATTCTTATACTTATTTTTGCATTACTTGGGAAAGATAATCTAATTCCTTGGGTTCCAGCATCTCAGATTCTAAAATGGAGTTAAATGGATGTACCTTGCCAGGGAATTTATATAGAATCACTGGAACGTAGGCAACTACATGGAGGATATGGAAGTAACCCTTCCCTGTATAAAGCCTACATTCAAATATGTGTTATTGTTTGGGCAGTGTGTCTGTGTGCTTATGTGTGCATGTGTCTGTGCAGGTGTGCTATGTGTTCAAAGGTGTGAATATATGTAGAAAGCATGTGTATATGTGCGTTATATTCATATGCATATATATACTTGTATGTGTGCATGCACAATGTTTGTGTTTATGTGTATAGGATATGTATTTGTGTACTTGTATTAAATGCATAGAAAAGAAGAACTTTCAGTAAATAAATTTGTCCTAACTAGTCATTATTGGGTATTGTATGAACTTGAATTTGAATAATGTGTAAAGTCACTCCTAACTGAACTTAGTAAACGAATTCTCTTTTTTCCTTTGCTGGGTGACACATATCATGTGGATCCCCCCCTACCCATCTTTTGAACTACATCTAAGGATCTTTTCATCTGAGAAGTTCAAAGTATGCCCACTTACCTATGCATCCTAGTGAAATCTTCCTTTCTAATGTCCATATTTTAGAACAACTAGATAACCAAAATTAACTTATCTGGTATCCCTGTTAGCTGTAGGGGACACTTGATATCCAACTACAGTGACTTGGATTTGCTCTCAAGGCCAATTAGTTAAATAGCAGAAGATAAAATAAGTTCCTGAGTCATTTATTTTTGACCAAAAAAAATGCATCTCAATGGAATTTCCGCTTAAATCAATATGAATCATTGCATTTTTCAAAGTGGTATGACCTTGGTTTCCACAAAGACCAGAATAGTGATTGCCAGAAATGCTAGTGTTGTCTGATCATGTTTTCTTAATTCTGTAGTCTGGGTAAAGGATAGAGTGTATTGTTAAATGTATTATAGGTTATATTTAGAGATGGTAGAGTTGATTTATCAAATTCAAAGGCCAAGTCCTGCCCTTGGATCTGTCCAATGTATTAATGTGCATCCCTGACCAGAAGAGCATCTGCTTGAAATGCAATGTTCTTTTGCTAATGGGAACTTTAAGCTTGCTGGAGGTGGAGGTGGGCTCTGGGAACATAGCAACTGCTGATTCCTGCCATACTCACAGTTCACAGTGACCTTGACTTGTTTGACATCCGCCGAGGAGACTTCATTGGCAGCTTTGCACTCATATTTGCCTGACTGCTCCCTGGTGATGCCCAGGATCTCCAGATATTCTTCTTCTCCTTCAAATTCTCTTCCTGAAAAACAAAAGAGATATGAAAGATTGTTTTATAAAGCTAATGCAGCAGAATGCCTCTTTTTTTCATTTTAGAAGCAGTAAATTCATGTGGCTTTTCAATAATTTGACAATGTTCTCTTTCTGAGGTCAGATTCCACAAAAGACCCAAGGCAAAAAGTCATGTAAGAGTGATTAAGGAGGATGTGTTCTCAGGAAAAACTGGTAAGGGTGTGAAAAAATCGGACCTGGAGAGAAGGAAGCCAAGCAAGGATGCAATGTCACAACCCAAGGAAGGCAGCTCAGCTTGATCCATCAGGAGCTTTGGGGACAGCTCATGTCCCACTTCACAGTTTTCCTGAATGAGAGGCAAGAAGCTGGCAGTCATTGGCTAAGAGGCAGTCATTGGCTAAGGGTTTAAAACAAAGTTGAAGTTGGGGGGAGGAGCACAGAAGTTGTGAAGGGCTAGGAGGGATGAAGTATTGATCATCAATTACACCATTCTGCAAAGTACTCTTCCAACCAAGTTGTTATTAGAAGAGATGGCTTCTTTTTGAGAAAGTGTCACTCTTCTCCTCCAGATTATGTGGAATTACATTCATAGGAATTCATTTCAAAACTGTTTCACAGCCACAGCTTCCTTGTTTAGTGTCAAATTATATCATCCTGAGCTTTCCAGCCGTGGACCAGATCCATGCAAATGTGCTGCTGATGGAATGTTTTGTGACAGAATGTGTCATGTGGCGACAAAGGGTAGGAAGCAAAGTACCACTGCCTTAAGCAGTTGAGGTTATAGGCTGAGGACCCTTTTTGGGAATTCCTACAAAGTTAGAGGTGTCAATTTAATAAAGGTAGCTCAAGAGTAGAAGCTTTCTTTAATTAAGAGAGAGAGAGTGTGAGAAGTTGGTGGTGGGTACACTATGGTGATAAAACCTGATGGGGCACCCCAATATTACTTCAGTTAAAAGTAAACGAGAGAGAGAGAGAGAGAGAGAGAGAGAGAGAGAGAAAACAGGAAGTAAAGGAGGAAAAGAAAAAGGGGAAGAGATGGTACGGAGGAAAAAGTGTTGAGCAGTGGGGAGAGCTTGACCAGAAAGACCTATGGATTTAACTCTATTTAAATTGAGACACATTGATCCTTGAATTACAAAACCCCACTGCTGCTTGGGTTAGGATAGAGCAGCTGGGAGAGTGTTAAAGAACACAGGCCTGCCACCATGAAGAAATCTTGCTTCTGGTCATCGTACACGAAATGGTACCAATTAATAGCTCTTCTCAAATGCCACAAGCTGTTTTCCTTTTCTGGAAATTCCCTGATGGCCAAATCAACCTAACAGCCAGCCAGCACAGAGACAAATTCACTGTCTAAATATGTCAGCTAAGCCTGTTAACCAGGCTCCCAATAGAACATCGGGCCTCTTTGATAACTTTCCACAGCACAACTGTCAGGAGTGCTCCGAGCTTCATGTCTTCTGTCAATTGTCAATAGCATTAGTTTTGAGGACCCTCTGCAGTTCCAACAACAAATAGGCAATAGTTACATAAAATTATTTAGTTCTGAAGTTCTGTACATAATTTAGCATATGCATCTACTGAAACTGTTTTAGAATCAAACTATACGTATACAGCTGCATATTATTTATAAAAGGCTATTTTTTTCCTGTCTGTTTTCTCCTCCTTTCTTCTTCCTATCCAAGTAAGTAGTCAGACCTGACTTCACATGTCACAGAAGTGGATTGTGGTGGGAAAATAAACAGAAATCTCAGAAAGGGTAATTGTCCACTTCTTTGAATTAGCTGGGCAGGATTTGGGTTTGAAGAGGAAAAAAATATCTTTCCTGTGTATTTGCATTTGTGGAGTAGGAGTTATGCCAACTAATTGATGCTGAGAATCTCTTAGCTAATTATAAACAATCTAAAGACTAATGGCAACTCTGACAATTGCAGGGCAAAATAAGTGTAAGCTCATTAAAAACCTGGAGTGCAGACGTAAAACTGACAGTAAGCAGGGTTATTGATTTTGAGGGTCATGGTGGGTTGTAATGAGAAGAGTTAAAGATGATTTCAGGATTTAGGTTTTAGGATTTCTGCCCTGTCCTTGTTCATAACCAACTAACCTGATTCCCAGGTGGACACAGAGTTAATAGAAGAAAGAGAACAGTATGTACAGTGTTCTTATAGTTGGATAACAATGCTGAACTATTTTTAAATCCAATCTTTACAATGTCTAAAAATGGTGGGTTATAGATCTCTATATTGTATTTTGAATATCTGAGTGATCTAAACCAGTTTCTGGAGAAATGATTTTTAGCAGCACTAACTAAGGCTCTAGCAGTTTGGGAAGACGGTATCAAGTTGAGTTAATACTAAAATGGACTAGAGATAATAATGTCATGTCATTGGGCTTTGGACCTGGGATTCTTCCATGCTGGTGCAGGTATTAATAATCTCATTTTTCACTGATCAGCAAGTAATAATGCAGATCCTCATGGGATGGATTTTTAATCTCATATCTCTGAGGAAGAATTTCTCCAGGTACTATTGCAAGATAAAGGGGCTTTTCCTTAGTACTTTCACATATAGTCAGAAAGATCTTTTTTCTTCTTCATGATAGTTGCCATGGCTGCCCCTGTCTCCAGCACAGTGTACACAGCTGCTCCTCTGGCGTGAAGGAGTGTCCAGGTGCAGTCTGAACATAGGTAAGAGAAACTAGATGGCCCTCTCTCAACCAGCCTGACAACATCAACAATATTAAACAACGCCTCTGGGCCTCCTCTTGTCATCATTCTTCCTCTGGATCCTCTACCTTAATCTCTTACACTTCCTAGCATTTCTTACTAATCTATTTTACTTACACCCGCAGGAGACTTTGTCCACAGTGCATTATCCCTCATACTTGAGTAGGTCTCAGGAATTCATAGTGATTTGAGAGAAAATGGAAACTTTCCTGATGTTAGAAAGTCAAAGAACCAGACTGAAAATTCCACAAGGACCATGTCTTAAATAGCAATATCCTCTTGAGCCCATGCAAGATACGACAGAGATTACTCTCTGACTGTTCGTTGAGTTAACAGAATTGAATTCAGAAATACAAGCAGAAATGAGAGCAGATTCAACATATCAACTAGCTTAAGAAAACAGAGGTAAGTTTTGAAAAGTGGCCAAGTATTCCCACACGAGGAGCTGGTGTGCAGGTCCAGTCCCTTTCACTGATGCTACAGGTGCCCCTTCACTGCAGAGAAAAGGGCACAATGAGTCCTCTGCTGTGCAAGGGCTGCACAGGGCATCGCTGGCCAAGTGCTGAGGATGTGTCCACTGCGTGGAGTTATTGTTTCAGAAAAAGGTGTGGAGAGACCAACTGCAACCCTGTGGAATTAGGCACAATGCCATTTCTTTCATCTGAGCAACTGCAGTTTCTTGTTTTAAAGCAGAACTCAGCACATTAATCTTGAGTCTCACAATTCTAAGATGCTCTCAGATTGCTCTTCTCCTTCGGTCCCAATGTATCTGGCCCATCAGGTACCTGTCTCCATTCTTTCAGCTTGTGCTGACCAGCTGCTCTCAACCCAAGAATCCTGTCACCTTTGCCCTTTACTTGCTCAACCTTAAAAAGCCTCTCAGGTCAGAAGGTGACATTTAACCTGCTGTTCAAGTTCTCTGCTGGGCTAGAGCCCTTTGGCTTCAATGTGGACGCTTCTCTTGCTCCTATCTATTATTTTCTGCCCTTGTATAAATATTTACTTGAAATGCAAATTTCAATATTTTGGTATTTTAAACATCTCAACCTATTTCCACAAGCTTGCTCACGTCGCTGAGTGTTATATTTATTCTGGGATCTGGTGTTTAGTTTAAATCTCCCTTTGCTTAATGTGCTTTTGTGTCTCCTGGCAATATTCAGCTACCAAGCTAAATAACTTCTCATCCTCCTCAGTGTATGTACCTTTCAGACTCTTGCAATAATTAGCATATCCCCTCTTAGTCACTGTTTACTCAAGTTGTACATATTAGTTCTTTTAATATTTCTTCATAAGTCAGAGAGAAGGGCCTAGAGCTAATGGCAAGAGGAAAGCATTCTTTTGGCTGTGCCCTAATGCAGAGGCAAATCAGCCAGGAATGATTCCAATTAAATAAGGCAGGTGCTGCCCTATGAGCACAATGCCTTCAGAGAAATGTTCTTGGGTGAAACATGTAGAGTTCACAATCAAAATACTGATTTATTAAGACTTCCAAGGTCAACTAGGCATTTGTAAGCTACCAGCCATTTGAAATTAAATAAATTTCCATGGTGCTTTTCTCTCTCTCTTTCTTCCTCTCCTTCTCCCTATAGGTGGCCCCTGCCCCATCTCACACACACACACACACACACACACACACACACACACACACACACAGAGAGCTATTTATTTATATATAACCCATTCACTCTGATTTTTAGGAAATAACATACAAAGTTACTAACATTCAAATATTTGCTCAAAAGGCAAAATGAGCCTATTCTTGAAAATTCCCCAGGACATGATCAGTCCTTTGGAATTAGAAAAAAAAAAAAAAAGACTACTATCCTAATAATCATCAGAGTATCTGCCTTCAGTCTTTATTGGAAACATGGGAAATAAAATTTGGGAAACTGGTTTAAATTGAGTGTTTATGACTTTAAAAATTAGAATTCCAATGGCTCTTACATATTAGGTGATGGGAGAATTCTTTTCCCACTATTATGAGAAGAGACTTCTCAGTACTGTATGACACCTCCAGCGATCATTTTTTCACAGAAGGAAAGATGTGTTTGAAATGGGATTGACATTCCTTTACTCACTTGATTTTAAATATTTGCAAGTGACAGTTATACATTAATTACAAAGACAAACACATTTACAGGTTAATGGAAAGCAAAGAAGTAGAATAGAACCTGTCTTGTAGGGTATATGTGGGCCTGTTTGTGTTGTGGGTCTATGGAGTGAAGGTGTTGAGCAAAAGCAAAGCTATGAAATTCTACCTGTACAGATAAAACAAAAAAGGATCA